GCGGATTGTACGGAGACTGTGGTACACCACCGGGAGTGTTCGGTGAATAAGTTGATGGCGATGGTGTATTCATATAACCAACTGGGTATGGCGATGGTGCAGGGCTAGGACTCGGATTAAACGGACTGTAGCTTCTATCCGAGCCGTAAAGAGTACCCGGAGTTTGTGGAGCAAATTGTGACGACATTTGATACCCAGGAGTGCCTAAGATTCAGATAAATTAAATTGAATACACAATAAATAAAGAAAGGTACATTACTTGGATTATATCCTGGGCTGGGGCTTGGTTCCTCAAGCGAATAATCAAAATCTGTATTACGAGCCGGGGTCGTATTTGCAGTAGGATCCCATGCTCCATGACGTGGCGTCATACTGCCATCGTGAGATGGCGTCATTGTACCATAAGGTGTCCTAGTATCGGTGTCCCAATTAGGTGTCTGACTACCAACCAATGGGGTTTTGGATCCAGCAGCGGTGTAGCTGGGAGTCTGCGCTCCGTAACCCGGTGTACGCGCTGGTGTGCGACCATAAGTGGAAACACTGCCCTCTTTACCAGGCTCGCCGACAATAACAATATGGTTACGATCCACGGAAATCGTTTGGCATGATGTATGCAATTCCACACGAGCTGTGCTCTCAGTTGCATCTTTTACGATGCCAACGGCTCCTACATTTAAAACGAGCATAAATTAAATATTGAAGAATAACGAATAAAGATTTTAAATGATAATACCTTTGTAGGGTCCACCACAAATTTTGATAGTTTTTCCTAAAAGTTCACGGTCACGCGTCACACGGAAGCCACCGCGACCACCGCGCGATCCTCCACGTGCGCCACGCCCGCCAGACGGATGCATTGGCGATTGGATTCGAGGTGACATAAATCCCAATCCTCCAAGCGTATTAGCATTGCTCACATTCGTTTTACTTCCACCAGCGAGTTGTAAGTGACGCGTCTTGCATACGAAAATACCGCCATTCTCCGTGTACATACGACAGTGGAGAAATGCTAAGCTGCGATACAAGTGCTTTATTTCTCCAGAGCGTCCCTATAAAATACGAATAGCGAAGACATTTACAAATGTGTTGATAAAAGTGCGTACTTTTTGCTTACGGCATGTGGACCCTCCATAACTTTCACAATATCGCGGCGGCGAATCTGATTTTGATCTGCATCCAGAGCAACAGTATTCTGATTTTCACGCCGTTTGTGCAAGGCTGTTGGCTTGCACTCAATACATTTTCCATTCATGCCCAAGACGTGGAAGTTCTCACGCTCCAAGCGCACAATAACACCAACATTTTGTGAGCTGCAAAGCAAGCACATTTAGTTGAATAAATTAAAATATTTGAATGCAACTTTAAGACTACTTACTCAAGCTGGACCAGATCTCCCCATTGGAATTGACCAAGACAATCAACTCCGGTAGCTACATCAGAGCACAGTTGCAAGTCTCGGGGCAAAACCTCAAGTTCGTGATTGGTCAAATCTGAGACAAGCACAACCCGCGATGGCTCTACGCGAATTATAAGACCTGTTTCACCTTCGTAGCGGCCCGCCAGCACTCGCGCATGATCACCCGTCTTAAAGTATTTGCGTAACTCGCTTGCTTTGAATATAAGAGGATCCTAAAAGCAGTAAAGCGTAATTGATGAACTTTCAATTGTTTGATTCAAATCTTCGCGGACGCTACCTTTAAGTCCTGATGTTTGGGCATAACCGTAATCATTGTGCCGTCAATGGCAACAATCTTTGCTTGCAAGTTTTCCAAATCACCGACACAAACTTCGACATTGTCGCCCATTGAAAATGAATGGGCAGCCGTGGGATCATCTTTAACGCTGGCCATAATCTCCAGGTTAACTTCTGTAAGAGTGAATGTCATTTTTAGATAAAATGGATTCATAAAGGTTTGCTAAGTTACCCTCCGGTGCTTCTTCGAATCGCTCAAGTTCAGCCAGAGTGGGTTTTACGCCCTCGGACAAAATTGCTGACATGGTAAAATTTTTATAAAGAAATCCCTTTCGCGAATAACGATTTCCTTCGAAGAGCAAAAAATCTCCATCTGAGTGAACTTCCCCTCCGATAGCCCTGAAAAAAAGTTGGGATTGAGATATATTTTTGTTATTGTAGGAAGTTATAAATGGGTTATAAATATGACACTCACCTAACAGCTTCTGGATCAAATGGTTTTGCCGGTGGCCTGCGTTTCTTTTTACGCTTCCCATCATCACTTTCCTGAAATAAATATTCTTATTACACACTAATAAATTGAGTGTTATGTTTGTCTTACCGTCGCCGTGGTACGTAATGCACCGCGCATTCGAGTGTAATCGATACGAGGAAGAAGCTTAAGATGCACCTGGTTCTGTGCCAGATCTACATAATCTACTTGTGCAATGTCATCCTTGTACAAGCCACGCTTTAAGCGCACCCACTGTTTTACCTTAAGGCCGACTTGCTCTTTAACTACTTTAAGCACATCAGTCATTTCCTTAATAGGAACCATTTCTTGTTTCCATTTGCCCATTCGAAGATTACCCACATTGTCGATAGCTGTCTTTACATGAGTTTGTTTGTAAGCTTCCAAATAAATATATCCTTTCACGCCTTCTGGTGCGATAATTGATTTGATTTGCAATGGATCATCTGTATTGAGATAAGTTAGGAACTTTCTCATCAAGAGCAATGCTGTCGCCTTCTCTTCTCCTATGCGGCATTTCACCATCCACAAATTGGGATCTCTAGTTGAATAATTCGTTGAAATAAATAAATGAGTATACGAATAACAGTCGGTAGTATAACATTGACTTACTTGATACCCGGCAAAAGGGTTTGCTGTGTAATTTCATCGGACATTTCCTCGCCGCCGTCGCCAAAGTGTCGTCTTACCATCGATTCGTCAGCATATTTCTTTCTTAGATACTCCTCAATTTCGTCTTCTTTTTGAGTGCTATGCCAATTAATTGTTCAATTAAATATTTGAATACTGAATGAAATCTTAAATAGGTAACTTACTCCCATAAATTGGTTCCTCTGCGTCGTATTTCAATATCTCTGGCGGTAGGGCCCAGCTCATCTATTTCATTGCCAACGATACCAATTTCGTTGGCACCCTCCTCCCACTCGTCGTCTTCATCAACCTTTACATGCAAACAATTGGGTATGTAAGATATTAAACAATTTAACGAGTGCTTATTTTATATATTCCACCTCGTCATCCACTTCAGCTTCGTCAATGATGAAGCCACCAAAGCGTTCCTTTTTCTTTTTTTTCCGTGGATGGTCATCTTCATTTTCTTCCTCTTCGTACTCTTCGGAATCTATATCCTCCCCTTGTGCGTCTTCATCTTCAGAATCTTCGGTTTTGCGACGGTGTCCACGTCCCCCTTGAGGTTGCGGGGAATCGGATCCTGAGCCAGAATGGGCCGATTGAGATCGGGATCGAGAAGATCTCGACCTAGACCTGGACCTGGATCTGGATAGCGACCTTGACCTTGAGCGGAAGCCAGATTTGGATCTAACACTTTGTTGCGACTTGTTCGATATCGATCCGTCGTCGGAGCCACTATCCGACATATTGCTGACTTCCGAGTCCGACATTTTGTGTACTGCGGACGTGTTAAAAACCACACGTTTTTTATTTGTACAGTTGCAAAATAAATGTAAAGGTTTGGTGTTGACTATACTCACATATAATTATTCAAGCAAATAGCTCATAAATATAAGCCATGCATTTGCACATACAAAAATGTAGGCAATTGTTTTAGGCAAATTCAATGGGTTTGCTCTTTATTTGACGCTTAGTTATGGACACAGTAAATTATGATACTGAAAACGTTGTCATCATTCAGAGTTATCGATTACTGTCCGAAAAAAATTCATCGATATGTTTTTTTCTTAATTACTACATGACTTTACCGCCAATATACATTAAGAAGCAACTCAGGCATAACAAGAAACATATAAATTTGAGGTATAGAAGACTAACACAATTAACATTTAATTATTATCTAATTTAGGGCATTTAGCTTGCAAAAACTCGAACCAAACAATTTCTCTTCGACTACGAAGGCTGCAAAGCTGCTACACTAGATATGCAATAAGACACGATAAGTATTCGATTATTTAATCGAAGTATGGTATATTGGTATATATGGTATATATCGGTATATTTTAGCTTTACAGATTTGGCAACAGTTGTTATGGAATGAATAGTATTTGTGGTCCAAAGAAGCGCAGGATAACAAGTTGCGTTGGAGGAACTAAGACCAATTTAATTCATCAAATTATATTATGCACCAATTTGAATGGGCGTATTTTGCTTATTTCAGACCTGTTGTGTGAAGTTTGAAGCTGAACTTTCGATAAAACGATCTTTAATAAGCATTTTTTACCTAGCTGGGGGGATTTTGGGGAATTTATGAAACGCATCTTAAATGACTTTTTATAAAGATACTCAAAAGGGATTGAATATATAATAATATTTGGGATTTACATATCTATAAAAGAAATGAGAAATGAAAGTTTCAAACCTATTAATAGACAAGGCTAGAATTTGCAAAATTTAAAAAAGTTCAATAGCTTGGTAATTTGTGAATTATAAAAAAAACTGTATTTTTATATATTTTTATATATAATTATACGAATGCAAATTAGAATACCTTTCCTACTAGTAGTACCATGATTTTCGACGCCACTGTTGTCTACATGTTCACATTTTGTGTGAGTGGCATGCCAGTACCATGTAAAACAGATTGACACTCCTATGAATAGAAACATTAAAGAAAGAAGAAGAACGTGTGTGGGGAAGTAATTACTGTTTTCAAATTTTACAATTATTAAATAACTAAATAATTCTGGTCAATAAGTTTATAAGCAATTGTTATTTTGAGTTGGCAATTATCTGATGAACACAAAAGATTCATTTAACATTTGAGGCGAAAGCATTTATAAGCGAGTGTATGTGCATATTACAGTTTTATATATGTGTATGTGTGCGCTCATAGAAATATACATACGTACATACGCATATATTTTCCATAGATTTGAGTTTCGCATCAATTAATCAGAGTGTTAAGACAGACTGAAGTTCTAGCTTAAGATATGGCTGGGGCTTAATTCATGATTAAATAAAACCAACCATATTATTGCTGTACAAGAACAATAGTTTAAGACAATATCTGTGTGTTTGTTGCAAATGATTATATGTCAATAAACTGGGTTGCATACTTTAATAGGTGGTGAATTTTTATAAAAATCGCCTAGAGAGCGGTATTTTTGGAACATGAACACCGCAGAAGTCAACCAAAGCGATCAGCCGCATAGGAACAATGGATGTAAGTACATATATGCCTGCAAACCAAATTGGTTAATTAATGCACTTTTTGTTATTTATTAGCCCAATATGAAGATTACGTTCTTCATGTACACATGCCAAACAAGAGTTTTAAGTCCATAGCCTTTCATAAAACTGAAACGGTATTCCACATCATCCGGAAAACAGTTGAAGAGTTTGGCAAGGACGGACAACCGCCGCCGAGCATTCAGCGATATGCATGTCGCATGTTGAATGTCATAACCAAAGAAGTATGTCTTTCAAATACTGCACTATTACTAGTTGAATAACCCATATAATATTTAACAGGTACTATGGTTAGCTAGGACGACATCAATGGAAAAAGTTTTGTCTCACATACTATCACCCGGGTGCTCGAATGTAGATTGTCCAAACAACGATCCCATAAAAGCAGATCAAGCTGAAGGCAAAGATCCGCATCATGGGCGGCGATCCGTTGTCACAGGTGTTTGGCGTGTGGAGTTGCGCGTGCGATATGTGCCCCATAAGATTCAAGACTTATTCGACGAAGACAAAACAACATGTTTTTATTATTTTGATCAGGTAATACTTGTTAAATATTTTCCGATAACTTTTAAACCCGAATGTGTTCGGTTGCAGGTAAAGGACGATTATATCCAATCAAATATATCGCCCGTGGATGCTGATATAGCAGTTCAACTATGCTGTTTGGGTATACGGCATTACTTCAAAAACATAACACTGAAAGCTCCAGATAAGAAGCAACACATCGATTACATTGAAAAGGAAATTGGGTTTAAATGTTTTATTCCTCAATCTGTGATAAGCACAACAAAGCCAAAGAATCTGAAGAAAATGATACAGGTCGGATACAAAAAGGTCTACAATTACAATGACATCGAGTACTTGACAAAGTATGTATTCTTGTGCTAAATTTTAGTAGAAATATGCTTAACTCAAAACTATTTTATACAGGTTTTTCGATCTTCTCAAAAGCTTTTATTTAACCGATTTCGAACAATTTTCTGTGACCTTGAGCTCGGCCTGGAATATATCAGGAATTCTGCATGTTGGTCCGCATATTGGTAAGAATTTTCAATACTTCCAACTTTTTGTTTGTATATCCTATTTGTATTTTATTTATTTATTTAGGAATCTCTTACCAAACACACCCGCAAGCAAGTTTAAGGAATGTAGCACAGTTTAAAGATGTCGTTTCTATTAAAACCTGCGCTCTTCCAAAAGAAAAAGCATCCAATGAACTTGAGTTACAGAATTTAAAATGCAATTGCCGAAAAATTAAAACTCAAATCAAAATTTCTGCATCTAATATTACGGAAGATTTGATTATAACATGCAATGGAGTAAATGTAAGCTTTACAATTCCCAGGTTTTCAATGCATATGTTAATTATTTTTAATTTTCAGACCGCTGAAAGTATTGCCGATCTTATTGATGGTTATTGCAGGCTGCTAACGAAAGATCTAGGATTTACTGTTTGGGAACGAGAAACGGACATGGGAGGAAATGTAAAAAACTCACCAAATGCATCTAACGCTTCGCAAGACGATCGAACTTCGTCGTCTCCGAATAAAAGTAAACCTATGCTCACGGATGATTACGCTGAAATCGGGTTATTAGAAGGGGAGGGTGATTACTCCACACCCACGGGTAAACTATATTTTAATATGTTTTTTATTTTTGTAACGTTTTAAAGCCCTTTTTTTATTTAGTGCGCAATTACGAGCTTGATCGATCTCAAATAGTTCTTAGTGCAAAAATTGGGGTCGGTCAATTTGGAGATGTTTATGTTGGAACATATACGGTACCAATATCAGCTAAACCGAAAAACAAAAGGAACGAGAGTTCTTCAAATACTATCGATGCCAAATATGATGTAATGCAAGTAGCCGTTAAGACATGTAAAGCTAACGAGAATCCAGAAAAGACAGAAAATTTTCTTGCCGAAGCATGTAAGTTCAATTAATACTCAATTTTCTTTTACAGTCCGAAACCTTGTGAAAAGGGTTTACAAATTTGGTTTTATGTATAGCACGATTCATATCTTAAGCTGAATTCCTGGCACTGTTATTGAGCTTTGTTAATTTGGCTGGCTTTTCATTGCAGATATAATGCAGAAGTTCGATCATCCACATATTATTCGGTTGATTGGCATTTGCAGTATAACGCCCATTTGGATAGTAATGGAATTAGCTAAGCTCGGCGAATTGCGTGCGTACTTAAAAGCCAACAGTGAGAGGTATGCTTCTGATTATTTACGCCACGTATTCAAATATTTATGAGTTGTTTCATTTCAAGATTAAGTCACGGAACTCTGCTTAAATATTGCTACCAACTATCAACAGCGCTTAGCTATTTGGAATCTAAGAAATTCGTTCACAGAGATATTGCGGCGCGAAACGTTCTTGTGAGCACACCTACTTGTGTGAAGGTGCGAACCAATTATTGATGGAGTAGAGAATTTGCGCTTATATCTTTACCAATTTCAGCTGGCTGATTTTGGATTGTCGCGCTGGGTTTCTGACCAGTCCTATTATCACTCAACTCCCACAGGTTAGAAAAATATATCTAATCAACTGTTGAATATTATTTTATAAAATGAGATTTCAGTTGCACTACCCATTAAATGGATGTCCCCCGAGTCAATCAATTTTCGAAGATTCACTACAGCTAGTGATGTGTGGATGTTTGGTTGGTGAAAGAGAAAACAAAAAAAAAATATGTCTTCATTTACATTTATATGATCTCTGCGGATAGGTGTATGCATCTGGGAGATACTTATGCTAGGTGTTAAACCATTTCAAGGCGTGAAAAATAGCGACGTCATCACAAAGCTGGAAAATGGGGAGAGATTGCCATTGCCACCGAACTGTCCGCCTAGACTATACTCATTAATGTCTCAGTGTTGGGCTTACGAGCCGCTTAAAAGACCGAACTTTAAACGGATAAAGGAAACCCTTTAGTAAGTTTGTAGATTTATTAGCTATAGTTTGTTGGGATAATGTCTTCTAAAATATATATTTTTAGTGAAATTTTATTAGAAGACAGTATAAACTCATCTGAGACAATGAGAAGGGAGCACCGTCGACTTGCAGGTGTATCTTGGATTGGCACTGAAGACAGCGACATTCCTCCACTAAAGCCATCCCGAACAGTAAATGACACTGGTAATATTTATAGACAGATCTTGCAAATGGATTATATGCTTATATTTATACTTGATTTTAGATATTCCAAGCATATTGAATACGCCAGAGGAAAACAGGACTGTACCCCAGACCTATATTATTGCCCAAAATCCGGCTGTGCTCGCCAGATTAATGATGGAGAATCAAAAGCGAGGCATAAATCCTGCAGCCTACACCACACCCGCTTCGGTATTTAATACTTTAGCCGTAGGAATAGATTCCAGTAAATCGAATCATTCGCTTAAAACTACTAAGCTCCCCGCAGCGGAGCTCCTAAAACTCGATCCTGTCGCTGATTCAGATAAACCTCAAATTCAATTTCCAATAACCAGCACCTCTTCTCAAAATCTTTATCCATCTTCATCACCTGTAATTAGTTCTTTCGACTCGACCTTTATGCCAGCATATTTACACCCTATGAATATTAGGCCTCAGCCGGTATCAGGATATGTGTCAGAGAATTTGCCACTGAAAAATAACTTTATAATAAGTGCACCAAATACGGATGATTTCCACATGAATCAACTGCAGATGGACAGCAAATCTGGCAACCCAACGGCAAGGGCCGCAGGTTATAGTCTGTACGGCAGTCTCGAAAGGCATCAACCACAGATGGATAAGCCGATGCACTCAAAGGGTGGCAGTCTGGAACGTCATCAATCATTAATGGCTGCGCAAAACATGCTTTTTCACAAACACGGCACGAATTTTTCAGAGCGTTCCAGGGGCATCGAACGCAAGAGTCAGTGCCATGCATATCGTCAACAAATGAAGACATCAACCGAATGCGAGTCTCTGCCCGAAGAAATCTATGACTTTGGTGGGGTTGGCCTTAAAACCTGTGTGTCTGTAAAAGAAAAAGCCCATTCGGTATCATTAATGAATGCATCTGCAGTAAATCCGAATATAACAGGGCAAGAATACAAATGCCCTCAGAACTCCGGCGGAAAGCAAAGCGGCTTATGCACCAAAACTTCATCAAACGACTTACAAGAAATTCCACGAGAGTGGGAGCCGCAGTGGACAACGCTTTCTTACCCAGCTGAGGTTGATCTTAAGAGCGATAATTTGGAAGGAGCAGCTTGCATTCAAATAAATTCAGAAGTGGGAAATCAGGTTTGATTGGACAAGGTTTTATGCTGACACATGAACCAGACGCCGTTTGCCTTTTTAGTTTTTTGGTTCTATTATCTAATCGGTTATTTTTAAGTTATTTTGAATGCAAATGATTGATTCAAGGAGAGTAAAGTGTAATAATAATTTACAGAGCATTCCCAAACCAATTGGCGAACAATTGTGGCAACAACGCAAGGACAGCAATAGCGATGGTGAATGGCTGTATCAAGAAGAAATGGTCGTAAGTATGATGCAAATAACTATTAAACTAGTCACTTAACTATGATTTTGCAGAGAAAGAGATCCAGTCCAATACCAGGTGCAGTTGAAACCGAGGTTTTGATAAAACATCAGCATTTTAAACCTGATTTGATTTCAGAAGGCACAATAGGCTATCCTGCTGGATCGAATTCGAACACAAGGCCAAAAATACCCGTCGCAAATGTATTTTCACTTAAGCTAAATAACTGTCCATCGGACCAGACGGTATCTTCGGCAGCAGAAGAAAGCTTAAGGTCTAGAATTGGCGAAAATCAAGATTCTACTCGACCAATAAATCGAACAAACGATGAGGTGTACTGTGCTACAACCGCAGTTGTAAAGTCAATAATGGTACTTTCTCAAGGCGTTGAAAAAGCGCACATTGATGGTTACTTGCATTTAGTCAAAAATGTCGGGGTCGAGCTAAGGAACCTACTCAAATCAGTAGATAATATATCACTACTGTTTCCGGCCCAAGCCTTGAAGTAATATATTCTGCTTGTTCAAAACTGAATTGAATTTGTTAAAGATTTTTATGATTTTCTTTTGCAGAGAGGTAGAGATGGCGCACAAAGTTCTTTCCAAAGATATGCATGATTTAGTGTCAGCAATGCGGTTAGCACATCAATACAATGATACTACTCTGGATAATGAATATCGAAAGTAATTATATCATATTTTTTTAAGAACTGAATTTGTATATATGCGTATTTTTCTTTTTTGAAGGAGTATGCTGTCGGCCGCACACATCTTGGCCATGGATGCGAAGAATCTTTTCGATGTAGTTGATTCAATAAGAAATAGATATCAACCCACTTTAACGACAAACACAAACAAGCTAGCCAGAAGAGAATCAAGTAGTTCGTTAAACTGTGAATCCGCCCAATCGCCTCCCGATAATGGCTCAGCCGCATCACCTCATTCTATTGCTGATGAACCGATTGCGAATCGTATTGCTGACATTAGTCTTTACGACAATGAGAACTTGCACCAAGGCTTAAATATGCAAAGTTCACAAACCGCCAGTTGCAGTGGTATCGTTAGTGAAGCAAAAACTAAAGGAGCATTACATAGGGGAAATGATATTAGCCATGAGGCAACAGGAAATTCAAATGAGCAGTTAAAAATAATTGAGGAAACATTAAATAATCCAGGCGAGCACATGTACTGTAATACATCCACGTTACATGGCCACGCATAAATCAAAAAGGTTCTATCCTATTTGTTCTTAAGATAGTATATGCTAACATTCTGTGTATATAACAAACCAAAATAAGTATGTAAATATGCAGGTGTTTTTTCACAAATGCGAAATTCATCTCAAGAACTCATACATACATATATCTTGCATATTCATATAATATGACGAACACTCAACGTCGGCCGGCCGCAATGAAATGCATTATTAAATCGTCAAGTAGTCAAAATACTTTAAGAACTAAAACGTGTTTCTGTAATTGAAAAATAAATAAATAAATACGTAAAACATTCTTTTGGAGAATATCCTTTTAGATTTGTGTAGTTGCAGGCCATTCTGTTTTTAGCACCTCAAGCACAATTTGTACCTATTTACCACTGCGTTCATCAATGTACAAAATTGGACTGACTTGGTACTCTCCCGTGCGCTGCTCGACTCTGGATTTGCACAATATTTAAACTAGCTGCTAGACTGCCGATGTTGCAAAAAAATTGCCTTTGTTGGGTTGCCATTGGAAGTGCTTCACATGTAGACCGGTCGTCAGTCGTGGCCATGCGGTCAACGGTGGATCCAGAGCTGCAGCTAAACTCTTATCTGCATATAAGCTAGTTCTTCTCTTTTGGGAATTGGAATGCTGCACACAGACTGGTGTGCGACTGGCTAAGAACACGTATACTTTACATTAACTTCAGCCTGTTATAAATTTACACAAAGCTACAACTCTTATTCAGGCTATAAGAAACTATTTGACTAGAAATAATCTACTTGTTACAATATTATAACAAGTCAAACTAATTATTTTGAATATGAATAATTTATAAAAATTGTTTTAAAAAAGTAAGCATATCTTTTTATAGGTAAACATTTGAAAATATATAATATATGTAAAAAGATTTCAATGCAAATAGTTTTTTTTTTTCTTTTTAAACTAACAGAAAGCTGTGCACTATATTAAAATGTACACGAAAAAAACACTATAAAACAACCAAATTTTTTACACAATAATGAGTATGCGTGCACTTAAATATTATCATAATAAATCTAAAAGCAGCTGTGCGCTTAAGAATATATTGTCCGTTCAATCCACTCCTCCAAAGTAAATGTCGCAGTTTCGTTTTTCGCAGCGTCTCTTTCTTTAAATATTTCTGCAATAAAATGTGTTAGAAGCTTTTCAACAATTTTAACCCCTTAAATTACCGATATATGTTTTGATTTTCACGGCACACATTAGAAAATCATCAAAGGCGATTTTTCCGTCTCTCGAACCATATCGATGCCCCAAGGCATTGAGAACATGGTTGTTTAAATGGTAACCGGCCGAGTTAAGTGCTTCACGCAGCTGGAAGCCCGATATTCTGCCAGAATTTTCGGTATCGTATGTTTTGAAAATAGCTTTCCACTTTGCGATATCTGTAAGCAATGCTTCAAACTCTTCAAAACCCAATTTTCCAGATTTATCTGCATCTAACATTGCCACCATAGAACGGCAAACATCTTTGGAAAAGCCGTGAGTCTCGTCGACAATAGCTAAAAAGAAGGTAAAAAAGTTATAAAGAAGTATAAGTATAAGTAGTTTTGTGATAATTATTATAGATCAATTAAAGGGCAGAATAATTATTGATAGCAGCATATAAATTAACTAATAATATAGAAGTAGCTCAATTACCTGTTGGACCTTCATCTATCAACCTTTTAGACTGATCATTCATTCCCAAATGTTCTTCAAAGGGAGTACCTTTAAGGAATGGTCCACATATCAAGGACAGTATTCCACAAGCATTTCCAGAATCTCCTGCAGGGTCTGTCTGACTTTCAAATGCATTGTTATTTGAGATTCGGTTATACATAACAGGCTTTGGTAGATCTAAATAAAATGACAGCGAAATAAGATATTTCGTAAATATTAAACAACAAATATTTGTGCACTCAACTCACCATCCCGCATCGAGTGGTCCAAAATTAGTTTAAGCTCCATCCAATCTACTTCCATATCCTTGCCGGCAATGCTGTCAAACAATCGCTTCAGGCTGTCCTTTTGTGGATCTATGGGCTTCGGTGTCGGAAAACCTGGTATTACCTTGAGAACAAACCATTTTTACTAAATAAACAACTGTTTTGGGAATATTCACTTACATCGTCCGATTTGTCTCCGTACCCAACGTGGTCATCATTCTCTCTATATTAAAGTGAAAAATTTTTTGACTGATGAGTATGCGAGAAAAATGAATTTCCAAATTTATGTAAATGGTTTGCTACAGTATTATACATTTTGAATTTTTTGAGTATACCTTAGGCAGGGAAATGCAATAAATTAATTATACCAAAAAAAGGTTTTCTTAAAAAGAAAAGCTAATTAAATATATTAAATATTCTAAGTTAAAATTATTAGTTTGGCGATGCAAAAAAGAACAAATGTATAAAAATGAAATAAAAAAAAAAACATCTAATTATTTTGTACAAAATATTTATTTTAAAAATCTTACATTTGGAATTACGTTATACATAATATATTATTGAAAATTGAGCGAATAGAAAAAGTATTATTTCTCAAGCTTTTTCATACTAGTTTATATAGAAAATTGATTTTTAAAATTTGAAATAAAAAAAAACCTTGCCTACGAAAAATGTTTAACATTTTCTTTCTAGGAGCATAAATCTATAAAAAATACGTTTGGACGGAAAGATATTGCAAACTGCATTTAATAATAGACGTATTAGTAAAACAATCTAAGTAAACCTAGCTCAATAAACTTCCTAAATAAAGCAACAATAATACGTTATTTCATTTGCAGCATTGATTATTTATGTTGTTAGTAATACAAGCAAATACTAAAGGTTATATTTTGTTTAGAAGAACTTAATAGCCGGAATAGTTTTTTGAGCTGCAAATATTACCAAGCAAAATGTGTTCTAGCCAAAGCACTTTACTAGCCCCTCAACGCGTTTGCCTACATTTAATTAGTGCTACACTTTTGCCCGACAATTGTACACACATCAAGGATCATACATGCATATAGTGACGAAATATTTTGTCATATACCCACCCCTTGCAAATTGCATTTCGTTTAAAGGACTGAATAGAAATTTAAATCTGCTGCTGAATTACATCTAATATACAAACTCTTCTGCATTTGCATTGTATACGCACTCCATATTATTTTGAGTTTCGGAGAAGACTCGAATGATGAATTCGCCTTCCTCATTTGGATCAAAAGTCGAGGGCACAATGAGATAGTGACCCGGAGGTAAGTTAAATCGAGCGCATACCTATAATGAAACAAAAGGACAACTTAATGCGGTTTAGTTTAATGGTTTGTCACCAACATACCTCGCGAGTATTGATAAAGTGTGGTGATCGTCCAACTGAAGACTTGTACTTAAAGAAATTGAGTCCTTGTGGACGGGTTTCCAGATCACGTTCGGTTAAGCTGTAAATAGCAAAACCAATTGTAAGGCACTCCATTCCCATATTACGCTTGGATCGACGATTCTTCTGCATTAAAGCCACAATGACTGTGCAGTTGCCCTCCTCATCCTCTTCGTCGGGATCAACCAGGGATATTATATACTGAGGATTGTGCCAGAATGTGTCCAAGAAGTTGCGACAACCGCCTGCTGTTACGCCGGGAGTCCATTCGCCCTCGTACATTGACATCTCCCATTTACGTTTTCCGCTTTGCTGATTGTCCTCAGAGTTTTTAATAAAAGATTCCGGCGACAAATTGCAAAGTTCAACGCGATCAAAATGTGTCAGAAAATCTTGGAATGACATCCAAAATTCGCCGTCTCTATCGAATGTTAAGCCAATTTCCTGTTTCTGTTCTTCAGGTATATATCGCCACTCGGGCGAGCTGTCGCTCCATGGACCATTCCACTCTGCCTCATTTCCCCACGGATTTCGCATGCGAATCATGGGGATTTTGCCCTGCCGATTTGGTGTCACAATATCAATAAGGCACACCTGTAAATATACAAAATTTTACATTGTACATTCGCCACACAAAGTCAACTACAAAACCTTGGTAATGGAGTAAGCATGTCCTCGAATCAATCCCTGTGGAGTTTCGGCTTCCAGCACGTTGGGATCTGCTTCGATGGAGCATCCCATCATGGAGTTACGTTCTGCGGCTTTCTGCAGAATGCTAAAAAGATTCGCTGGTGCTTCCTTAAGATCATACCACTCGCTGACACCGCCCGTAAAATCTTCCATCGCCTCGCATGTGGTGCCGCCCTTGAGGGCTTCATACGATCCATGAAGTCTAAAGAATGACAATAATAATAATTACAACTTTACAGCACGCTTAATATTCATACTTAGCATATGCCTTCTCCAAGAGTGCACTCCAGAATTCGTTTTTCTCAGCCGAATGCATATACAGTAGCTCTCCACGATACGTTGGCAAACGGTCATCAATAACCACGTCAACCCATTTACCTGTTAAAAATCAAAAAGGTGGCATGTTTTATATAAGTTCATTGTAAGCCTAAAAGAGTATCAATTCTTCTCCAAATAATGCAAATTCAACAATGCTGCTCCAAATTAAGCAAATAATGCTGGCCCGGGACGGAAAGACGTATCTTCTGGCAGGATGTTTGGCGAGCAATATTAACCTAAGTTTATTCGGAGAACTTCGAAAGTATGCCAGTCTCTCGTTGAAAACCTTTTGAATGCTAGCAGACATTGAGGTCAGAGGCCTTGATAGGCAGAGACTGGTTTGCATAGAGAAAGGCAGACAAACATTTGGCTGTTATTCAAACATTCTCTTCAAAAAATATGTTGTATGGGGTACATATAATCTTATGACATAGTGATAAATAAAATAAAATTAAAAATTAATTCAAATTATTACCATATTGCCAAAAACGAAAGTGGAATATTCCAGCATAGTTCTCTTCGAAGCTTTGTTCCGGGGGAATCACCCGGAAGAACAGAGACGATTCATGTGTCAGGTTTGCGGTGGCAGCCAAAAGCCAACAATCGCCAAGTTCGCCCTGTTGCACATCAAATCTGGAATAGCCTTCGACGAAAAATTGAGGATTGTCAACGATTTCCTGAAAAAAATTTAAATATTGTTAGAAAAGTCGTACAATTAGCAAATACAAGAAGTAAAATAGGCGCAACGAAAGACTAATAGCTTTTGGAATAAACCTTGGCTTATGTATTTACAATTTCTAAAAATTCCCCGAAAAATAATGTGTTGAAAAGATATTGTCAATAGATGAAGAAAATTATTCCTGAAGATTTTAGTCATGACATTTCAGGATGCTTGGCCCGAAATCGATTTCGACTGAGCCTCAAGAGCTG